TTCACCCTTCCTTCCCCACACAGTCATATATAGCTCCTTCCCTCAACAACAAACATCTCTGCACAACTATCCTATCCATACTCTATAAATCAGCACTTCCCTTTCCTTCATTTCCAATCTCTTCCTTCAGATACTTTGTCTTCAACTTAGAAATACCCTCCAGGCATCCACCACTGCTCCTAACACAATATACTCTACATACAGCAGCAAGTATATTTGTTTGAAAAATGAAAATCTAACACATCACTCCCATGCTTCTCATCCCAGTGACTTCCATTGCTCCTTGAAGCCATATACTTTCTGGCTTTAACTCACATGTCCTTATCCCTTGACAGCCTCATTTTGCATTCTCTCTGCTCTTAACCATACTGGTCTTTTTTGAGTATCTCAAATTAGTCAGTATTCTTCCTGTTTTCGGTTTCTAACATGCTCTTCTCTTTGCCTTGGATACAATCACACCAACCCCACTATACCTCTTTTATTTAATTTCAATTAGACTTAAGTATCAGTTTTGGTAAGGCTACCAAATTTATGTTTTTCAAAGTTTGGGCTCAAATATGACTTCTCTAGATTCAAGTGCCCAGATATATGCTCTCAAGGTATTTTATCCTAACTCCATACTCTTAAATAAGTACATATTAAACTATAACTAAATAATCAGCTATGTAATTAGTTACTTAATATCCTTTTCCAGATTTCCAGGAAGGCAAGAATATGTCTGTCTTGTGTATTGCTACTTTCCCAAGGTTTAGGATTATGACTTAGATAAAGAAGATACTCAATAAATACTTGAATAAATGTATGAATACTTAAGTCTTTCCTATACAAGAACAATGTCTTCCAACCTCAAAATCTGAAATGTTTCCACTTTTTTAACCTATATTCTCAAGTCTGTCATCACCAGTTCACTGTGACTATATTCAGTCACTAATGATTTATCAAGTAGTCTTTTATTAGTCCTATTCTAAAAAAGGAGCCCTAGCAGCCCAATAAGTGCTCAACTACTAATTGAAAGGTCAATGGTTCAAAACCACAAGCTGCTTCATGGGAGAATGATATGGTAGTCTGCTTCTGCAAAGATTTATAGGCTTGGAAATCTTATAGGAAAGTTCTATTCTTGTCCTAAAGGATTGCTATGAGTCAGAACTGACTCAGTGGTTATGGGTTTGGCTCTGGTTGGTTATCCTAAAAAATACCTCTGTAGCAGGCACCGTCTTCTTCCTTCCAATAACTTTCTTCTTCTTAGGAATCCAAATCTTGCCATATACCTTCTGGTAATTCCAACAATGAGGTCTCCTTAGCCTGTCCCTTAAATGGTAATGTTTTCTTGAGATTTCACTTTAATCCTCTGATTTTCTCATTCTACTTGTTTCCCCTGCATTATCTCATTCACTATCATAGATTCAATTAACATTCCTAAAATGGAATTAATTACAATTACTTCTGGACTTCTTGCGTTGTAGTAGTATTATCAACCTCAATTCCCAAACAAGAAATCCAGGAGATGCCTTAGCTTCTTCCCTCTTCCTTAACCAGTCACCCCATTAATTCAATCACATTTAACTTCCCCCCCCCTCTAATTACATTTAACTTCTAAGTTCTCTGTTACTCTCTAAGCTCAGGTTCTCACTTCTGGCCTAGTTTATCACCAACTGGTCTCCTTGTTATCAATGTTATCACTCTTCCATTTACCAGATATTGGTTATTTTCTTTTATAAAATCACACCCTACTTTAAAAATCTGTCAGATTCTCACTATTTAAAACGAAACCTCAACTTGACTCAAAACCTCCTGTATAATCTAGTCTAAGCTGCTTTTCCACACTCATCTCCTAATCTTCTCAATTAAAGTCTTATACATCAAACACTTTTACCAAAAATCTATCAGTGCTGATGTTTCCTCCAACCTGAGATGACTTTTAACTTTGCAGAGAGGCAAATAAATGTTCAAACATTAAGATCCAAATACCAACTCCCACATACTTTAAAAAATCTCCCCAGATAATTCCTTTCTCCAGTGTTACTATTATTTTAATGTATTTGTAGTTCTCCTGTCATACAATTTTTACAATAATTTATTTGTACAATGTGTTTCCTATTAAATTGTGAGGGCTTGTGTCTTATTCATTTCTATATATTTCCAGTGCCTGCCATTATGTCTGACTCACAGCAGGGCTTCAACATTTACTGACCCAAGCGCACACTGTGATAGGCTTTGTGAAGAAGTAAGTAGGCGACACAAACGGCATAAACATAACACCAGGATTTCTAGAATCATGGAAATTGGATCTTTGCTCCTTGAGGAGTAGCATTCCAGTTCAGCACCTGACAGCGGTCACTCACCACCCCCGATCCCGATGAGGAAGAATTGCTTTTTAGAGAAAAACTGAACGGAGCCAGGAGCAGGTCTTTGCCGCTGCTCCAAATGGCACTGGATGATAAGGTAGGAAAGACCAATTAAAAAAGACTTTAAACTGTCTTGAGGCTGGTAACCCAGAAGAGCGAGGACAGCAAACATCTTCCCATTACATCCACCAGCCGGTCCAAAGATCTTTCACCCCAGAGCACAGCCCCTCCTTCGTCTACACCCAACAACAGAGTCCCCGACCCTGCTGCCCCGCCCCCTCTTTCTCCACACCCTCCAATACTTTTCCCCATGGGATCTCTTCACAACTGTGACCATCTTGCTACCAGGACTTCCAGGCCATAGATCCTCTCATCCCCGATGTCCCCCACCACTCTTTGACCCCTGACCCCCTCCTCCGGCCTGCTCTTACTGTCCAGGTAATGTTCCAAATACATCCCCGCAGCCATCTTGAAGCAAAACAAAGCAACTTCCGTTCTACCTCGGAAATGACTGAAACACAGTAAGCACTAAAGTGATCCTCGCGTTAGAACTCTTCCGCCCTTAACAGGAGAACTTCCGCCCTTAGTCGGTTGTTCATCTGGACGCATCCAGCCGATGTTGAACCTTTTCTTTTGCGTAGCCAGCGACCACCTCACTAACGAGGCATCTTTAATCCACTTCCGCCCTTACTGAGACGCCAATGTGCGACCGAGGTAGGTATGACGTCACTGCACATCGCCATTTTGAATTCTCTACCAAACTTTTTCCCTCCAAAACGGAATGTACTGTCATGGGGAAAATTTTCTCTGGTGTTGAATGCGGGTAATACTCCTTTAAAGGATCTGGGGATGTAATTTATTTCCCCTTTGTAAGATTTGAGTCTGATGACTAGAGTAGGACTTTTTTAAAATTTATTTTATTTCAGTATTTTTTGTGTGTACCGTCAAATCAGATCTGACTGGTACAGGAGGAGATTGTTCCTCCTTCTCCAGCAGAGCATCTGGTGGATTTGAACCGTGCATCTCTGAGATTGCAGTTGCAGCTTCTTGCCACTAGGCCACCAGAGCTCGCCTGGAGTAGGACTTTTTAGTAAAAAAAATTGGACAAAAGCATCTGGTGAGAACTAAACCCTCTAGTTCCACATAAACATTTCCCAACAATCCTTTAACACGGGAGGTCTGCTTATAAACCCTCTACTCAAAAAGGCAAATTGCACACTAAAGTAGAATTCTTTGTTCTTTACGCTTAATTATTTAAAATAAGAATATTCCCTTTTGAAACTCTGAGGGAACTCATGTAATTTTTACTCCCTTCTTACTCAAGAATTTAATTAGCGTAGATTTTACAGTGATTGGTACATGGGGGCTCCATCATAGCCAACTCTGCCAATTAGATGTCAATCATTCCAGGTAGTTAACAATGAAAACGATACTCTTCATTAGAACGAAGTGTATGATACTGTACCACCATACTACAGAAACCTAAATAATAGTTCACAACCTATTAATGTGGAGATGGTTGTCAACCCTAATTTTTACATCGTTGGCAGTAATTAATGACACACAGACTTTAGTAAAAGATTTCCAGCCATATAATTTAGGTTTTAAAAAAAAGTGTAGTATCAACTGTAGGTTTTCTGGTGAGCAGGTGCTAATATTCATGAATACAGAAAAAAATCTAATGATACATGTTTCATCTCCTTGGGTAAATAATCTGTGCTTGTTTCTATTTCTTCAAGGACACTACTCACCTCATAGGGTTGTTGTACTTACGTTATGTGTGTACTATAATAGACTTGCTGCTGTCAGGGCCTTTCAACAGTAAGGGGTGGGGGAAGTAGTCATGAAGCCAGCAGATGTTAGTGCAGTTGTATGTAGTGCAGTTGTATGTGATACATTCATTAGTGTCACATCACATATTGAAATGCTATCTTTTTTATATTCATCCCTAAATTAATCGGACATTATTTGAAAAACTACTCACACTTTAGTAGGTACTAAGACTTGCAGCCCCAAAGGATAGCCACCTATCCAAAGGACAGTTCTCAGATGTGGAAGTTTGTCACAACTATTAAAATATATAAACGTTAAAAAAAAGAAAAAAGTACTTAAGAGGTTTTAAATTCCCAGAAATCTTGGCAGTTAAGTCCACTGCTTCTTTTAGCAGCTGAGGAAGCAGCATCTTGGTCAACATAATGAACTGATGGTGGTTATTTGATTCTGCACTCATAGACTGGTGACAGTTGCTGCCATTGTCTAAAGTGCTACAGGCTAGTAAATATATGCATGTGTACGCATACACACAAAGTGCCCAGTGGGGTTTGATAAGGCGCCTTAGCTTTTGTATAAAAAAAACACCACCACAAAAACTGGGGGGGGGGGAACCCAACAAAAAAATAACTGAAATGTCATTCTCACATTTTTGGCAATGTAGTCCCTATGACAGTACTTTTATGACGACATTCTTGTTAATTCAGGAATTTGACTAAATAGCAAAGCTGCACTCCTTTATAACTTTGAAATCACACACATGGGCCCCTTACACAAGCATTCATTCTCACCACCATATACTTTGGTGGAAATCCTATGTATTCTCCTTTAACATTTTCCAAGCTTTCCCCCCATGCTCATATCATTAGCTCCACTGCCTCTGAACCTTTTACACGAATTTATTTCTATACAATGTTCTAAAAACACCCCTTGTTTTGTACATAAGGTTTTTTTTCTGTTTGTAAATTGCTTTATAACAACTGGTTTCCTGATTTTTTCTGAATTTTTTCTTTTCTCTGAAATCTGCCATGATTTAAAAAAAAAAAAAAGACAAAAGGAAATAAAAATTCTATGGCCAGAGGGACAGAGTGGAAAAGAAAAACAAAGACAAAAAATAATAAACATCAAATATGAAAATTCTCAGAGATAATGCATTTATAAACACAGAAATGGTTACAACAAAGATGGCTGTGATGAGTGGGTGTATATATATATTTATATATATATATTTATATATAAATCCGTGTCCGGCAACTGACCGTGGCACCTAGGGAGTTTAAGTCCAGTCCTTGTGTTTTGCCCTGAACTCTCCCTTCTCTGCAGGACTCCCCTTTTATTTTGGGATTTCATAGAACACAAACCTCCCCCAGTTCCTTGAGGTTTGGGATGGGGAGACTGTGGGTACAGGGCCTCGGCTGACAGAGAAGGGGGAGAATGGCTCTAAGAAAAACCATAACCCATACTTCTTAGCCACCCTTGACCTTGGGAATCTCTGGCCCCTTGGGGACCACATGTCAGCCCTTGCCCTCTTATAGAGAGGTCTGATCCCCACCCAAAGCTCCTTCCTCCAGCATTAGGTAGGAAGTGAAATGAGACCATTTAGGGGAACAAATGGCTCCTGGGGACAGGGGCATATGACAAACTTCTGTTCTTTTGCAGGCAAGAACAGAACAGGCTGGTTGTATTTAGGGCTCCCTTCTCTGGTTTCTGGGAAGGCCAGCCTCTAGTCTTCTGTCAGCCCATGTTTTGAGAATGAGGAGGGTTAAGGAGAGGGTAAGTGTCTATAATGGACAAGTTTCTATGAGGTCATAGCAAATCCCTCCCTTGAGCACCAACCCTCAATTTTCAAAAGCTATGCTTAGGAGGGGAGGTTGCTGGATTGCACTACCAGCTCAGTATTCCTTTGCCAATCAGGAAGGCTGATGTTCCTTGTGAAGAGTTAGGAATAAGGATGGCATCCTGTGACAGAAGGCCGTGCCTGAGGCCTACGGAGATGGAGCCAAGGCCTGTTAAGGAAGAAGAGCTTTTCCCACCAAAAGGAGTTGAAGGAAGAGGGGTCCAGAACTTCTTTCCCCTCTTTCCAGTGGATGGCAGCAAAGGTTTCTAAGAGCTGGCCAGGTGCTCCACCTGGATGGTGCTGGTGGTAACAGTGAGGCAGATGTCCTTATGATGCTCTGATGTCTTATAGGGGGTCAGGTCAAAGGAACACTGAGGTGGAGGGTTGGGGTTGTTGTCCCCACCACCACCACCTTGGGGGGCTGCCCCAGGGGACTGGAAGTGTGGTGGCTGTGGTGGCTGCTGTTGTGGTTGCTGCTGCTGCTGCTGCTGCTGCTGTTGCTGCTGTGATGCCTGAGAGGCCTGGGCCTGGGCCTGGGCCTGGGCCTGGGCCTGAGCCTGAGCCTGAGCTTGAGCCTGAGCCTGAGCTTGAGCTTGAGCTTGAGCCTGAGCCTGAGCCTGGGCCACTGCTGCTGCTGCCGCGGCTGCTTGCACTTGTTGCTGGAGATCAGGAGGGTTGTGTTTACGCATATGCTTCATCAGGTATGTTTCCTGAAAGAAATTATAAAAATTAGTTCATGGATGAGATAAAAGTAAGTAAGTTCCTTATACTAACATCCTGGGCTCTTACTATGCTTTAAACAGAGAACTACTTATACAGAGACATTCTAGAATCATCGTTAAGTTCTTCCAATTAATCATTGTTAGCGTTCCTTTGAGGGTAAAATGGGGAAAAGAGCTCTTAGACGTCTCCATGGGCATTCAATGGCACAGGACAGAGGTCATGCCTGAGGCCTACGGAGATGAAGCCAAGGCCTGCTAAGAAAGAAGAGCTTTTCCACCAAAAGGGGTGGGAGGAAGAGGGGTCCAGAACTTCTTTCCCCTCCTTTCAGTGGATGGTGGCAAAGGTTTCTAAGAGGTGGCCAGGTGCTCCACCTGGATGGTGCTGGTGGTAACAGTGAGGCAGATGTCTTTATGATGCTCTGATGTCTTATAGGGGAGTGAGATCAAGAAACAATGAAGTGGAGGCTTGGGGTTGCTGTCCCCACAACCCACACCTTCCTCCAGATATCTCTGAATAAAGCAATTTTATAACCCCATTTCTGGTGGAAAATATGTAATTGAAATCTTTTCCCAAAAGATCAAAATACAACAAAACTAATGGTGCTTTAGGTTTTAAAAAGGTAGAATCATTATTTATCAATCACTATGAATTTAAGAGAGGCCTGGTGGTGTAGGCCTGGGAGTTGCACTACTAACTCAAAGGTGGCCCCTCTCTAGTGATTCCAATCAGTGGTTCCAGCTCTGTAAAATAAAGATGGGCAATCTTTTCCCATGGATTTACAGCCTCTGAAAACCCAATGGAGGGCCAGCTGAGTCCATTTTGATCCAATGGCCATGAGTTGAGCTGATGCACTTAGGGGATCAAGCATCCTCAGGTATGGGTCTACCTAATTTGTTTTCTTTGCTGACACTGCGAGGTTGGAATAAGGAAGTATACTCACTGCAATAGATATAGTCTCTATACAGAACGTAGAGTGCAGTGTAATAGGTAGGACTGCAGACAAAATAGCACTCACCGATGTATATGCCCGACTACAGATAGTGCAGGTGTACACCTTGGCATGCTTCACCGTGTGCGTAGAGAGGTGCACCTCCAGTGAGGCTGCATCTGTGTACGCCCGATGACAGTTGTGGCACTTGAAGGGTTTATCTTTGTTGTGCTGCCGCCTATGGGACTGAGAAAATTGGGAGAAACTAACATGAGTGAGTGAACTATAGTACTTTTTCTTCCAGCCTCCCAGCCTTTATGGAAAACTCAGAGCTGAGTGTCAGGCCGTCCAGATTCTCTTTCCATCAGAAGCCACAAGATACTGCTTCAAATGGAATTTCAGGAGCCAGAGGCTAAAAGAGGACGTGTAACTCATGCAGCACATATCAGGATTCGGAAAATTACAACGCTGGCCTATGTCTGTTCTCAGTTGTTTAAAGTTCTGTTAAGTGAGGTATGGTTATCTCTGGAAAATCAAGATATTTTAAAGGGATCAAAATTACCTTAAAAATAATAATAAAACAAACAAACAAACAAAAAAAGAAGCAGTATTTGCCCTTTTTACATGTCTCATTATTTTACTAAGGTTACATGATATGTAATATTGCAACAGACTGACTACAGCTGATAGGAAAATCCAGCCTTTGATTAAACCAGATGTTAAAAAAAATTTGCCCTAGCAACAATAGCAAAGTTCAACAGAGCGGCAAACAACAAATGCTGGCAAGGTTGTAGACAGACTGGAACTCTTACTTACTACTGATGGGAATGTAAAATGGTATAGTCATTAAGGACGGCAGTCTGGCATCTTCTCAAAAAGTTGGAAACAGAAATACTCATTGACCCAGCAATTTCACTACTGGGAATATACCCTAAAGAAACCATAGCCACGACTCAAACAGATGTATGCACACCCATGTTTATTGTTGCGTTATTTACAGTAGCAAATAGATGGAAGCAACTCAAGTGTCCATCAACAAATGAATGGATTACTATGGTACATTTACACAATGGAATATTAGGCAACACTGAAAAACAATGAACTTGTAAAACAGTACACAACATGGGGTAGCCTGGAAGACATTATGTTGAGTGAAAATATCTCAGTCATCAAAGGACAAATACTGTATAACACTGCTGTTATAAAATAGGACGCATGTGAGGGGGTTGGAGAGAGAATGGGAAAAGAGTGGACAGATAACGAACACTGTATTAGAACAGATGAGGGGAAGAACTGTCCAAAAGGAATATATGATTAGGCATTATATGTATGACAATAATCTGGAACAAGGGGTGCACTGTGAGGTAGGCTGGGGGAAGAAAATGTATGACAATGAATAACAGAAAAAAAGCTTGCAACATTTTTCTTACTAATGTTTATTTTTTAAAAAAATGTTACTTATGTAAGTTTATTATTGCTACTTTAAAATTAATTAAAAATTAATTCATAAGTATTTTTACTTTAAAATTAATTCATAAGTATTTTTCAAGCTTCTCAATTTGTTTTCAATGTGGAAAAATAGCTACATGAACAGAAAGTTCTTTGGGCCACTTGACTAATATAGAAGGACGTTCTGGCGGTCTAGTGTAAGAAGTTGCACTGTCAACACTAAGGCACACGGTTTGAACCCAGCAGTTGCTCTGCAGTAGAATGATGCGTAGTCTCTTCCCATGTGATTTACAGCCTCTGAAAACCTTCTGGAAGGTCAGCTATGAGTTGGTTCTGACTCAGCAGTACACAACAACAAACATTTTAGAGTGTAAAATAAAAGAGTCCTAAGAAAGTTCCAGACCTCGTACTAGTCAAATGACACATTTCCCCAAGCTTCAAACTCAAGCTGGTGTGAGAAAAGCAAATCATTTACCTGCAGATTGGAGAGCTGTGTAAAGGCCTTTTCACAGCCTGGGTGTGCACATTTGTATGGTCTATCACCGGTGTGGATTCTGCCAGGATAAGAAAAATAAAAAGTCAAGAGTCAGCAAGATGATCAGGAATAAACTCCTTCATGCATCTCCCAAGGTCAGTCCTGCCCCCCTTAAAGGAGCACTTCATGTAGGTCTCCAGGATGCACCAGCCTTAGATTCTCACTGATCACACTCTAATGTCTGACTTCTGGTAACTGTCTATACCATTTAGCTCAAGCTGGGTTTTCCTTCTATTGGAGGGTGTGGTGGGCAGGAGATCTGGTGGCTCAATATATAACAGATAGGCATGCTACAATCTGGTATACGCGTCAAGTCCCTCATCAATGTTCAGACATAGAAGTTAAACAAAACAACAAGGAAAAAACCTAACATTTCTTCCTTGGCTCCCATCCTATCACCAGAAATTATCCTCTCAGCCTTAAGCATAACCCAGAGAACATTCTGGGTGAGAAAGAAAAATCAGAGTTACAGTATGATTAATACTCATAAAAACTCCATGAAGTTTCCCCCAATCTAATGACAGGAAATACATAGTGCATTAAAGAGAGAAAAACCTAGGTTTAAACCAATTTAGCTTCTAGCCCCAGAATTACTGAGCCCTTCACTGAGATAAGCCAAGGACTTGAGTGTGCCTGACACCTATTATTCATCAGGGATTTCAGAACTATTCTGGTGACAAGGTGCTTCTTTGAATTTCTGATATGAAGTCTTGAAAACATTGCAGAACATGACTGTTTACTCTTTGTGAGGAAAGTCTGACTCCTCTTCTCAAAGCAAGATATTTGACTGCATGACAGCAGGATCCTCACATACATCCACAAGAAGTCCAGGTGAGCAAGGCCTATGGTCCAACTTGAGGTAATGTTGAAGATTATCACTTTTCTAATTGGTAGGTTTATTTCCTCCTAATCACTTCAAATTTATGGGACAAAGAGTGGACACTGAAGAAGTAGGAGCTTTTTCATTTTGTTTGCCATTCTCTGTGAATATCTGGTACATTTTTCCCTCTACTCCTGGCATCCCTTGGAGGCTTGCTCGTTGTTGTGGGTTTACCAGCCTTGGTATCCAGTTAATGTCTGATTATATCTCCTATTCACAGTTGGTTCCCAAAGGGCTGAAGGTATGATCTTCTCCAATCAAAAGCCTTTGCATTGCCATCAAGGAGAAACTCTTGCAAGATGTGCACATGTGAGTTTTCAGAATGAAATGAAGGAAAGAAGAGTCTCAGCTCCAGGTTTATCTCTGCTCCCCATGTTTTGGGGACTGTCACCGTCATTTTATCTTCTCAATGAAGCTCCTGCCCCAGAAGGCTCTCACAGCACCCGCTTGTTCCTCTGATGTTGTTGCTTGGTCTTCTTTCTCCCAGAGGCCAGTGATGTTCTCCTTCAGCCAGGTCTCTCCTCCAGCCAGGTCTCTCCCCCGCCCCCCGCATGCGGGTTGTTGTGTATGTCCAGGGCGGGGGTGGGGAGGGCATGCCAGCGGGGCGGGGGCAGTAGCCTGCCACTCTCCCTTACCGTGTGTGCTGCTGGAGGTGGGAGAGCTGGCGGAAGGCCTTCTGGCAGTAGGAGCAGTTGTAGGGCTTAGCCCCCGAGTGGATACGGAGGTGCTGGGCCAAGTAGGAGGTGTTGGCGAAGGTCTTGGAGCAGTGCGGGCACTTGTGGGGCTTGATGGTCTCCGTGTGCATCTTGGAGTGGATCCTGCCGGAGAGGAGAGGAAGGAAGGGGGGAGGAGGAAGCAGTTCGACACCATGGGCTCAGCTCTCTGCTGGGTGAAATGATGTTGCTTGACGGATGGAAGCACCCCCTCCTCCTCCCTCCTCCCAAAGACACTCTGGCCTGGATAGGCTCATGTAGAGGACACCAAGATCTAGGTTGTTGCTGATTTTTAGTCGGTGGCTAAAATGGCAGTGAGATGATGAATAGCTGCAACCCGTGGATCCTGGTAGCCTTAAAAGTATTCAATTTTGTCAACCCTTGGTTTTTTCCCTAGGTTACACACTCACCACAGATACCCTGCTTCCAAATAGTAATCTGAACAAAGACCAATACCGCCTGGTCCCCATGGACCTGAAGTTGAATGCACACCTTGGTTCTGAACTGAAGCATATAGTAAAAGCAGGGCCTGCTCTGCAGAAGATTTCCAAACACAGACAGAGAGAAACCACAACAATCGTTCCAGACTCTGGGACTGGAGATTAGAATTTTTTAGATTCCCCCAAACTGGTAAGATAAGAGTATATTTTTCAGTCATTAACGGGAAAGAATTGAAGCTCCGACAGAGCAAAGTTGAAAGGGGGGAGGGAGAAAAAGACTTGTGGAGAGAGGAACAGACAAAGGTAACATGGTCTTCATGGGGAGAGGGAGGGCACATCTGCCACTCAGCAGGGTCAAACCGACAGCAGCCTTACCGAGTGTGCTGCTGAAGGTGGGAGAGCTGGCGGAAGGACTTCTCACAGAAGTTACAACTATAGGGCTTAGCCCCTGAGTGTATACGGATGTGCTGAGCCAGGTAGGAGCTGTTGGCGAACGTCTTGGAACAATGTGGGCACTTGTGGGGCTTGGTCTCGGTGTGTGACTTGGAGTGGATCTGCATCTCCGACTTTGAGTAGAATGTCAGTGAGCACATCCGGCACCTGGCCAAGTGAGGGCATATGGTTAGACTCTTTCCAGCAAGGCGGCATTTCGAACCCTCCCCTCCGTTTACAAAAGAAATCAGCCTATCTGATCTCGCTCCTATTCCAATTATAGTGTGAGACCCTTGAGCCTAGGAACTCTATCAGACTAAGCTTCTAACATGGTGTCCAGCACTTAAAAAAAGACCAACTTAATAAATGTTTGCCAACGATTGAAACTTAAAAGTATGCAAAAAGCAAGAATACAACCAGGTAAGACAGGAAAATATATTAAGGGCTGTGAGCTGATAATAGATTTCACTGAGCTGAGAAGACAACTTTTGTTATTTGGATTTCTTTTGTCTATAACTTCATTTTAGAATTTTAAAGATGTTCTTTGCCTCTTCATGTATGAAGTACATCCTCCAACTATTCCTCAAGGCCTCTATAATAATGAGAAATAACTGATGAGATTCTCCAGAAAAGATTTCTCTTCTGTCTCTACATATATACTTTCTTCCTTCAGCTTTTTCCTTCCTTCGTTTTTTTCTCAACAATTTTTTTTCTTCTCTTAACAATTCTTAGAGGGACAATAGTGGAGGAAGATATAGGGAGATATCCCCAACAATTTGGAATGCCTTCTTCCAAACCTTATGTCCAGCCCCTACTCTATATCTGATATCCACCAGCCCTGTCCTGTCATTTCTCTTCCCCAGCTCTTTGTAATCATGTGAGAATCACTTGAATGAGCCACATACAGGGAGTGGGTTGTTTCCCTCAAGTATTTTATTTAGGAGAGAAAATATTTTTAAGAAATGCTATCTTCCATCCTAAACCTCCCTTCCTAGCACATGGCGCCAATATCGATACTTTGGATCAACACCAAAAGCATATCTGGATGTACTTTCATCAACGAAGCTGGTAAAACTTCCTCATGCTCTGCTACAGTATCAAGTAAGGAAGCCTCTGAGCAAGTTAAGTCACACAACTCAGACTTCATTGTGTAAAAGCGATCTGTTTGTGACTGGAACCCATTATTTTCCTCAACAACTCACCAGTGTACAGTGTGGGCTTGTAGAAAGGTAGCAGCCTAGAAGCCAGGCCACTGGGACAAGTCCCTCTTCTGGGGATCCCCTCAACTTATCTCTGTGAGAGGGACTTGAGAGGATATGAAGTGATGATTTCTACTTTTATCCTGATCGTAGGATAATTCTTAGAGAATAACTGAGATCACAACTAACCAGACACTGAGGGCCTCAGGAAAAAAGGTTTTAATGTTAGTTGGGACATAGTCCCGATATTATATAATCTCTGCTGTTGTCTAAGACACATAATCACTATACAGAAGCAGAGGCAAGTCTGTTTATAGTTAGTATAGTTTCAAGTATACTAAATTCTCAGGGTTACAGGAATGTTCACCAATTTAGACCTCATATGGTCTATAAAATGGAGAGAAATATTTGCCCCAAAAAGACCTAGCAAATACTCAGGACAGTCAACTAAGTCAAGCGTTCTCCTGTCCTACTAACAGTTGCTAACAGTTGATGTTAGCATCATTAGTGCTACGGGCGAGTTCATGCTACTACAAATTTCACTAGAAACTAGACACAATGTCATTTGGAGGGCAAATGTAGTAATACTACAATATAATCTCACTTGGTTGTTAAAATTTCTCCAAAGGGTAGAAGACAACCTTCAGTAGAAAACATTCATTAAAGTGCAAAGTTTCCAACTAAAGAATAGCTTGAAAGGAAAGAAAAAAAAAAGGACAGACAGGGCAATGTCAACTCACTGACTATGAACAGGCTATGAAATGGGGAATAGCAAGAAATACTAGGTACAGCCTGATAATGAAATGATAAAAAGTTATCTCCCACCCATGCTAGACTCCTGTTAGACACCTGAAATGTTTCATTTCTGTTTCTTGCAATAACCTAGCAACTATTGTTCCTGTTTTGCAGAAAGGCTAAGAAAGTTTAAGGACATACCAGTGGGCTGGGCAAACAGTTACTCACCACAATGCATGGTTCTAATCTAGAATTCTGGCACCAAAGATGTTCAAGAACGGGATTATTATTTACTAGGAGTGCACCGAGACTAAGGCTATAGAGAAGGGACCAACTAGGTGACCATCAGAATGCTCCAAATTCTGAAATTCCATGACACCAAATAGATGGTCCTCAAACGTGGTACCCTGAAGGGACCTGAAGGCACAGTGGTTAATGAGCTCAGCTGCTGTCTCAAGTTCAAACTCATCAGTCCCTCTGGGGGAGAAGGATGTAGCAGTCTGTCTCCAAAAAGATTTACAGCCTTGGGAATTCATGGGGCAGTTCTACTCTGTTATATAGGATTGCTAAGAGTTAGGCTCAAGCCAAGAAACAGTAGGTTTACTTTTTTGGTTGTTTGTTTAATGTGGTATCTGGATGGCTAGGCAGAAATGATACTGAGTAGAACTGTGGCAGGAGCAGCAAGAGATAGAAAAGTAAGCACTCTGTATCATGGGTGTGTAATTTGAGGACATTTTTTCCACAATAAACGAAATGAGAATGGTGCCTTTGGAGGTATGTGATATAAGGCTACATTTATTTTGAATTATTAGTTTCTTCTGAGATGCTCAAGACAATTTAAAAAACTTTCATTTCCCTTCAAAACACTTCCACAAGATATAGGAGGGCTCATTTATTTTCCCATAGCATAAATGGGAACAAAGAGTGAGTATTATGCTGACTTGCCCAGAGTAAAATAATCCAATTTCCTCTAGTACCCAGCACCAAATACTACTGGTTCCAGAATGGATATGCTTTACATCCATTTGTGTGTGCACTGCATAGACAAACGCAAGCACAGGGTCTTTCCGATTAAAAAGATTCTTTTAAGTTCTAAATTTCTGAACAAAGTTTCATCTGTTCACCTAGAATGCAATTTTTGTCATGTACCTTCCAGTCAGAACTGACCCCATAACTGATCCTCCACGGGGTTTTCAGAGGCAGTTAATCAGAAGAGTGCCCATCTTTCTCTCATAGTGCAGCTGGTGGATTCAAACCTCATACATTTGAAGCAGTGCAATTTCTTATCACTAAGCCACTAGCGCTCCCTAGACTACAACTGTTGTTGTATACCGTAGAGTCACAACCAACCCAACAGCTGACCCTCCAGGGTTTTCAGAGGCAGTAATCGCATGGGAGGAGCTTGCCTATCCTTCTCCCATGGAGCTGGTGGCCTGGAGCCACATGCCTTTGGTATTGCAGCGCAGCTTCTTACCACTAGGCCACCAGAACTTAAGAATATAATAGTTCCCTTAAATTTCAGAGTTCTCATTAGTTCACCTGGATGTAGGACTGACAAAGTTTCCTAGAACACCAAAAGAACTATCAGGACTTCTTTCCAACTGTATATTCATACTTCTGTCTACACACAGAGTTTGGAAGTCAAGAAATAGCTTTAGCAGGAGTAAAAAAGACTAAAATAAAATCCTGACTGAAATCAGAAGAACCCTGAACCATTTGAAAGGTTCCACAAGGGTAGTAGAGAACCTTCCAATACTCCTACAAATTTTATATAGGTAAAATCTCCATGCTACTACGACCTCACTTTAAGCAGATACACAAAAATACAGATTTACACACAATAATTAAAAAAGGAATAGTCATTTGTGAAATAATAATACCGTCAAAGAAATAAAATCTGTTTGGTACCTTTAGAACATGATACAATGTAAACATTTTCTAAGGTACATGCTTGTAAAATAGGTGGTACTGCTGTTAAGTGCCATCAGTCAGAAATCACTCAAAGCAGACCCTCCAGCAGGGTTTCACAGGTTGTAAACTGCATGGGTGGAGAAAGCCCCTGAGGAGCAGCTGGTAGACATGAACCAACGTGCCTTTGGGTTAACCACACAATTCCTTACCCCCTAAACCACCAGAGCTCCCTATATAAAACAGGTACACTTACAATAACAAAGTTGTAAAGCACTTTTAACTCATGAGCTGAAATTTTGCAGTATTCAAAACTTTTTACACGACCTTCACTTTCACATACAAAGGGGAACTGAAATAGTCTGCAGTTATGGCTACTCTCCATGATAAAGCTATACAATGAGATAGAAGTAAATGCTTATGATGACTATTTCCTATGTCTCTTTTGAAGTTCCCAACATTTCAAATCTTATCAGTTACATACTCCCAACAAATGGGAGGCATAAACAGAATTCTCCCCATTTTGCAGATGAGGAAACTGAGGCCCAGAGAGGGGAAAAGGACTTGCCCAGGGTCACACAGCAAGTTCGTGGTGGAGCCGGGAACTGAATCCATGAGCCCAAGGCTCTGTCCATTTCCTGTGTCGCAGTTCCCTTCGCTCCTAAAATGGGAACAACATTGCCCATCTCGGTACACTAAGGACAGACCCAGTCTCCCAGCCATGCACATCGACCCCTGTCTGCATCAAAGCTGTGACAATGGTTATCCCACTCTGTACACTGAGGGCAAAGTCCCCAAACCCAATAGGGCCCTTGACAGTTCTCAAGGTGATTCAACTTTCAAAGTGCATTATGTAATTACTTTTGTATAGTATGACATGCAAACAGCCACTTAATACTCTTTGGAAATTGACAACTTGGAAGAAATAAAGGATCAAAATGATTTCCATAAACTAGAAAGTGAGCAAACAGCCATTACATCAATATGTATCCAAAAAGGAGAAGAGAGGCATCCTATTCCTCTCACCTTTTTGTGTAGTCCCACCCATCATCCCAATCATGCAGGGTCCAGCAGGTTCAGTGCTTAAAAAGAGCCCAAGAACCAGTTGACGGCACACTTTAGGTTAGGTGCGCTTACCAGAAAAGAGTTCTCAGAAAAATAGGAATACAGAGTTGGACACAAACTTTAAACCAAGCCTTTCTACAAGAAAAAACTATACCCTACTGTTCAAATATAAGTCAATATTGACTATCTCAAAAAAAAGGAAGGGTGAATGGGTCTGAAAACTGGGAAAAGAGTCATTGGAAAGTGTAGAAGCTCTGCGTTCCAACCACTCAAATGAACACCTGACATGCAAGTCAATCGGAGGTGGAAGGCTGTCAGAGCATGGAGCATAATTTTGGGCAGGATACAAAGGGAGAAGGAAAACTGAGGCAGTGATCCTCACCCCTTCCTGCCCCCCGCTCTGGCTCCTACCTATAAGTCTTGCTGTCTTTCTGATGGTCATCGTCATCCTCAGGGGAGAGGACATAAGGGTCACTCATCTCAGGAAGCCCTGATTCCAACATCCGCTTCTTCTTCTGGCCCCGGGGGGCCTTAGGTGCCACATTGCCACCTCCACCAACACCTCCACCTCCTTCCTCTGTTAGGGTTGATGCTACCTTCTTGGTGAGGTCAGGGACCACCTGCAGGGCTTGTGAGCCAGGGGGAAGAGCTGAGACAATCATGGGAGCCGAAATAGGGAAGGTCTGAGCTGAAGAGGCTGTGGTCACAAGAGAGCCTGAGGGGGACGTGATTACCAAACCTGGACCTAGGATTGGGAGAGAGAAAAAGAGATGGTGTTATGTTGCCCAGTCCTAATCCAGATCTTTATTTCATTTCACTTCCCCAGACCATTGTCTAATTAATCCCTTACCACCACCCCCAACCCCAAAGTATATAGGAAACCCCAAACCCTATAGAAAAATAATAGTCTCCTAAACCCTGTCCCCAACCCCCCTGGTAACAGTGAGATTTACCCCTTGATTGACTCCCTTCTCTTCTCCACCTCTGAGAACAGGAGACTCCTTGATTCAGAGAAGGAAAGAATGTCACCTCCTCAAAGGCAGGGACCGCATCTTCTACTTCTTTGTATCCCCCACAATGCCCAGCACATTGCTAGGCACACAGTAGGCACTTAATAAAAATCTGATTGAGTAATCAAGCACATATCCCACTCCCCATGTTCTTGGAGCCCTCCAGCCTGGGGTACTGATCAATGAAGATCAACACCTCAGATTGGAGAAGAGCAGAGTTGCTCACCAGCAGTCATTAGTCCTGTAGACGGCACAGGGACCACCGTGATATTCTGGGTAACGGACGCCTGGCTGTGTGGGGTCAGCTGGTCTGGCTTAGATTCTGTTTCCATACTGATGCCTGAGGGTAGGGACACTGAGGCAGGCACTGTCAGCAAGGTGGGGTAGTGAGGTGGAGCCAGACCACAGCCCTTCTCTGGCAACAGCTGATCTTTCATCTTATTGATGAACATCGTGTTCTCGATCTGAAAGAAAAGGAAGAAAGAGGGGAGCATGCTCTTCAAAATGAGACAACCTGAGCATCTGGTCCCTAAACATTTCTCCCTTTTTGTCCACCTCCCTGGAAATCAAGGAACTAGAAGTTAAACTCTTGGCTTCTAGAGAGATACTGAGGCAAAAACTAAGTTTTCATTAATGTAGGACTCAGTGAAGTAGCCTGTGGTTTACTTTAGTCTTCATAGTAATAGAACCTACTACTCAGAGATTAGGGGAGCTCTGGTGGCCTAGTGCTAAGGAGCTGTGCTGCCAACCTGAAGGCACACAGTTCGAATCCACCAGGTGCTCCACAGGAGAAAGATGGGCAATCTCTTCCTGTGTGATTTACTGCCTCTGAAAATCCGTTAGAGGGTCAGTTTTGGTTCTGACTCAAAAGTATATAACAACATTCAGAGTTTAAAAAGTATACAGTGGAGGAGAAGTAACAAAGTTGGCAAACACCACCTACCTGTCCGGAGACTGTGGGGATAGAAGGCCAGAAGTACGGGTTAGAATTGAAGTGAGATTCTTCCATTCTACCTGAAGGAAGAAACAAAAACCACATTGCTCTTTAGAAACAAATCTAAAGGAGTTTAGCTGTAGAAAAAATACAGGTAAGAAGTTCTTAGTCTTTTCTTACTGGTCATAAGGATGGAATTAACAATTGAGACTTTAGAAACAGTAAACCTTGATCAAAGCTACCCAACACTATACCTCTATCTAACAGATGCTATCCCAGCTTATGTTTGTCAAATAACTTATACAAATCTCACATATCCAACGAAAGTTTCCCATACCCCAAATAAATGAAATAGAATCAGTATTACCTTCCTTAGCAGACAAAAAGAGAAAATGAGCCCTTAAGGAAGGACAGGACATGCTCATTGACACACAGAGCAAATCACTGGTACTTAACACTATTTTTCTCTTAACTCTTCAAATCCACCTTCCTTAAAATAAAAGTGACAAGTGTTCCAACAAACAAGTCTATTCTACATACTAGAAAAAGTCACAGGCCACACAGTACAAAAGCCTTAAGAAAACTATAAAGTTGGCAGGAATCAGAATCAACATACTTATTTTGATGATACTGGTACATATGCTACTGGTTCTCAGTATTGTAGCCCACTAGGCAGGAGTGGCATCCACTTCCTAAATAACATGCCTCCAGAAACTCTATGAACTTTGGTAAATGCCGATAGTTAATAGAAAGGCTTCAGGCCCTATAAGTTATGCCTGACTTGAAGGCAAAGAACAACAACAATCCTACCAAGGTGTAAGAACATCCATGGTGCTCTGTCGGCTCCCGCACAAGAAGGGCAAGCAGTGAAAACCTAGGAGTTACCAATTTAGAAAAGGGTTCTGGCACCAGCAGTTGCAGCAGCAGCATCCCCGATAGCCACCTAAAGGGACTCAGAACAGGGACAGTAGTATATTCTTAGATACTATGTTTTTAAGTGTTCAAATTCTTTTCTGTGAGTAGATGATAATTAAGCTTAAAACTTGGAAGTGCGGGAAAAGAGAAAAGAAAACTCTGGGGATCACACTGCAAGTCACAGGTGAGTAAAGAATAAAGGTATCCTACTACCCAATTTTCACACTCTCACTCCTTACCCAGCAAGTTTTAATTGGTAGCAGGCTGGTCAAGAGTAACTTTCCAAAATCCTGGACCAAGAAAGATACTGCTTAGCAGAAAGCAGATGAATGACTAGTAAGATACCAGAGGAATGGAAAGGAGGATAAGCAGGAAATAAATATTATTACCATGCTGCTAATCTGAGCCAAGAGCAACAGGTGACTTACAGCCACATTAGGTAACTGGGAACAGCAGCAGAAACATGAAGGGACAGGATGGTAGACAGACTGGACATATAAACTGGATTTCAAATAATAATTAAAAAAATTGGGAAAGACTTTTACCAAAGGAGTAGTGGCAGAAAAAATATCACTAAATGTAATCTGGTTCTAATACTCTCCAGGAATCTCATCACATTTACCTTTACTTCTCATAAGTCCTACAGAGGGAAGCAGAACTGAATCTCAGCCTATTTTCTGTGCCAGTCGGATCCGATTTGACAGTATGCAAGGAAAAAGGGGGGGGAGTAATAAAGTAGAGGGGGAAAAGATGCCAAGCGTGTGATTAGAACAACTTCACAAATTTCAATATTAAATGACCGAGGATCAACCACAAGCAAATCCTGTTTCTTCAGTTATAAAATTCATGTTGTTGTTATGTGCAATTGAATCACTTGTGAGTCAGCAACCCTATGCACAAGAACTCCTAACCCTGCTCTATCCTGGGCCAACCTTACTGTCTAACACACCCACCCCCATTACCCTAGTCATTAAATCAATCCATCTCATCCAGGGTCTTCTCTTGCACTATCCCTTCACCCTTCTAAGCATGATGTTCCTCTACAAGGACTGGTCCCTCCTTGCAACATGCCCAAAATATGTCCGATGAAGCTTCAGAATCATTGCCCTCCAAGAAGCAGGCTAGTTTCACCCTCTCCAGAATGAACCTGTTTGTTCTTCTAGCAGTTTATGGTAAATTCATTACTCTTCTCCAGCACCACCGCTCAAAGACATCAGTTTTCCTTATATCATCCCTAGTCATTGTTTAGCAAGTAGCAAAAACCATGGCCTGGGCGAGGCACACCTTAATCTCCAGACTGAGATCATAACTCTTCAGTACTTTGGAGAGGTCCCTGACAGCGGACTTTCCCAATCCAACTTGTCCTTTAACTTCCTGGCTGCTAGTACTAGAAGTGTTGATTGTGGAACCAAGCAAACTGAAGCTATTAACAATAAAGTAAAACCAGACAATCTGACACAACTGTTAACCTTGTCCTTTCCTGCACTGGCTTTATAAAGGGCACTAAGGTGCTCCCAAGGCTGGAAACGAAAAGAAAAAGGCATGCTTAACATATAATCCTACCCATCCCACCTCCAACTGAGTGAAGAAAATAACTGTATTATGAACAAAAAAATCTTAGAAGTAGGAACTAAGAATCTGAAAATAAGAATTTCCCCAGATAAGATTCCTGTGAACAAGACCCTCTCCACCACCACTACCTCCTGCAAAACCAGAAGTTAAAAAAATCCCATCTAAACACACTGTCATATTGGTGACAGTTCTGGAGGGAAATATCCCTGTAGGTTCTTATAAAAAGTGCATAAATAGTGATGAAGTAGATCTATATAATCAATATTGTCACTAACATTTATTAAAGTTTTTTTTTATTATTTTATTATTTTTGTGTGAGTGTACCATCAAATCAGATCTGACTGGTACAGAAGATTGTCCCTCCTTTCCCAGCAGAGCATCTGGTGGATTCGAACCGTGAGCCTCTGGGATTGCAGTTGCAGCTCCTTGCCACCAGAGCTCCCCAAACATTTATTAAAGTTTTATCCTGTACATTCGGATCCACCAATGGTTCCTCAGAAGAAAGGTGGACTGTCTCCTCCCAATGCAATTTACAGCCTTGGAAACCTGATGGAAGATTGCTATGAGTTGGAACTGGCTTGGCTGCACTAAGTTTATTCCATGTAAGATACTGTTCTAAGCACCTTACAGCAATTGTTGTTGTTGTTAAGTGTTATCAAGTCACTTGTGACTCACAGCAACTCCTCCCTATGTGCAATGACTCTGAACCCTGCTCTATCTTCTGCCAGCCTTATTGTCTCTGGCACACGTAACCCTATTACCCTAGCCACTGAATCAATCCATCTCATCCAGAGTCTTCCTCTATTGTGCTGTCCCTCCACCCTCTTAAGCATGATGTCCCTCTATAAGAACTGGTCCCTCCTTGCAACATGCCCAAAGTATGTCCGATGAAGCTTCAGAATCCTTGACTCCTGGAGCAGCTTGGTTTCACCCTCTCCAGGAAAAACCTGTTTGTTCTCCTAGCAGTCTATGGTATACTCAATACTCATCTCCAACATCACAGTTCAAACGCATCAATTTTCCTTCTATCATTCTTAGTCACTGCATATCAAGTAACTGCAAAGACCATGGCCTGGATCAGGCACACCTTAGTCTCCAGAATGACAATGTTGTTCTTCGATATTCTGGAGAGGTCCCCGACAACAGACTTTCCTAATGCAATTCGTCTTTAATTTTCTACCTTGCTGGTCCCAAGAGTGTTGATTGTGGAGTCAAGCAAACTAAAACTGTTAACAATCTCAATCTCTTCACCATCTATCATGATGCTGCCAATACATCACTTAATCTCCACAATTCCGAGGTAAGTACTGTAATCTCCATTTTTTCCAATTCATCAAACCTGTGGAACAAATCTGAGGGCTCTAAATGCAGGTACCAAACAAATCAGGGTAAGGGGTTCAACAAGTAACTAACACCACACAACTCAACGACACACCCTTGAAGTGGTGGCATGATCCAGGAATTAAATTGAGAATATTTCCAGGATAGGACTACATACATTCCAAGAAGCTGCCAATAAATGGTTTCTAAAGATTTTCCTAATAATGAAACACAGACTTCCATCATATTCTCTGTTCACATCCTATCAAATCCAATTTGGTCACCAAAAGAATTAGTTTTAGAACAATACCTGTATTAAAAAAGCCACCCTACAGAGGTGAAATAAAAGGTCGCCCACTTTCTTGACAGAGCTCTGGTGACTTAGAAGCTGCACTGCTAACACAAAGGCACATGGTCGGAGTACACCAGTTGGTCTGCGGGAGAAAAGATGGTCAATCTCCCCTGTGAGTTACTGCCTCTGAAAACCCACTGGAGGATCGGTTATAAGATAGTTCTGACTTAAGGGTACATAACAAGAACCACCACTTACTAGGACAGTAGTCCATGGCTCTGATTTGATTCTTGGTGGTTGCTGAAAACAAAACATACATCAATTCAAGTTTCCACATGTGATGTTTATTTCTGAAGAGAAAAAAGCTGAAGATCTGAGCTACAGTGGGTCCTGGCACAAGATTAACAGACATGCCTTATGCACTTCTGATAAATGTCACCTCAAAAAGGGGACATGGCTCTTGCACCCACACTTTGTTCATCTGACTACATTCTTCCACAATGCCATCAACCATCATAGGATAAGGATGTCATTACCTGATGAAGACTATCACTTTTCTTGTGGTGGTGGTGGTTGTTAGGTGCTGTTGAGGTGAGTATAACCCATAGCAACCCTATGAACAGATCTGAACCTTGTCCTATCCTATGCCATCCTCACACTTTCTGACACACTAGAGCTCACTGTCGCAGTCCCTGTGTCAATCCACGTGGTCGAGGGTCTTCCTCTCCTTTGCTGACTCTCCACCCTTCCTGGCATCATGTCCCTCTCCAAGGAATTGTCCCTCTTAGCAAAATGCCCAAAGTATGTGAGGTAAAGCCTCATCATTCTTGCTCCCAAATAGCTCTCCAGCTGCACCCTCTCCAAGACATATTTGTTTGTTCTATTGGCTGTCCATGGGATATACTGCACTCTTCTCCAACACCATAGCTCAAAAGCATCAATTCTTCTGTAATCTTTATTCATTTTCTTATATTCATAGCAAGTGACTGGAAAAACCATAGCCTGAATCAGATGCATCTTAGCCCTCAAATGGACATCATTACTCTTCAATAATCGGAGAATTCACTAACTGCAGACTTTCCCAGTGCAGCATTCTTTTTATTGTTTTTAAAATGCAGCATGATTTTCTTTTCTCAAGACTATAACATTCCCTTAATACAGTCAACTACTAGAAAAACACCAAATACTAGTACTAACCAAATTGAGTAATTAGAGAATAGATGTGGGACCCAAGACTGTCAGATTGTAATTCTACATTGTACATTAGTGAATGACACTAAATAGTTTACTACTTTATTAAGTGTCTATTTGGGCAGATGATGGAAGGGAATGCACCCTTTACCCAAGTTCACAAGATATATGGTAATTTGAAGGAAGTAGCACAAAAATTAAAAATTCTCAAAATGTTTCTGAAAAGAAAAGAATTAGAGAGCTACTCTCACTGTGATGAGAACCATTAGTGATAATTAGTGCAAATTACATAAAGACCACATAATTACGAAGAGAAATGCCCCAAATTAACAGATCTATAGCCTCCAGCTTAATAATCATGAACATGAAGAAGCATTAAGAAAAAAAGATACAAAGAATATTCTACTCAAGAAACCAAAAACAAATCCAGTGCTGCTGAGTCAATTCCAACGCACAGACACTGTTTAAGCAGTACTGTAAATCTATGAAACTGGAGCAGGTGTAAGACAGAAACATATGAAGAAGAGGAAAAGGCAAATGTTTTTCAGTAAAACCAGCAATAGAAAAAACAATAGAATTGCATACTGTTATAGGTAGAAAACTTGGAGACCTAAAAAAATTAAGCCATCTATCAAGTTCCAGCTCTCAACATTTCCATGTACTACTCTGGAGTTTTCTTGGCTGTAATATTTACAGAAGCAGACTGAAGGCAGGCCTGTCTTCTTCAGTACCACTAGGTGGATTCAAATTTCCAACTTTTAACTAGGCATAAATATTTATGGTCCCCAGGGAAAATGCATTCCAAAAGCTAACTGTAGAAATGCTGCTTTAGCTCAGGGCTTGAAATGGAAAAACAAAGAAAAGAATTTTTTCTCAATAAGCAAAGAAAGTCTATTTCTTCAGATTCTGAGAGTATCTATCAAAAAAAGCAACTCAATAGGATATAGGACCTTCCTACTATCTGTGAACTTTTCCAAATACAAACTAACTTAGAATAGCTGTATCTCAATTCTAGTGGGAAGTACCATCAGACCACGTCATCACGCAGCTGACAATCTCGGCCAGCAGCTTCTATCTACCCTGGGTTATCAGTGGGCTGTTGTTGCACCTCATGGGAAAAACAGTATAGTGGAGGAATTCCTCCTTCCCCTGCCAATGTCCCTAAAAAGGATGGATTTGGGAAATGTGAAGAAAAAAAAAAAAGGATGGGGTTAGGCAGGAGGATAAGGGATCTGGGTATTTATTCATTAAGATGGGCTCATAAAGCTATGGGAAATAAATTTAATAACCTAGTCAAGAATTAGTTCTTTAAAGATACTCCTAGCAATGGCAGTTCTGAATTAAAATTCTTATTGATCCCACATAATGTCATTTTCAGGCTATCAAAAATTGTCATCATCTCCATCAAGCCTCTACCCTGAATTTTTCCAGCTCTCCTCCTGGAGTCCAGTACATACAGTTTTATCCAGCTAACTCCAAGCCATGCACAAACTTGGTTTAATTCCTGACACATTTATCCTGCTACAGAAAATTCAAATAACCCTGTGTCAGATTCTCAACGTTCATCAGATCAACTTCAAACTCTCCAATGGAATACTAGGCAGAAACTAAAATCTTAACTCCTTATTCCAAACACAATTCCATAAACTTTGGTACAATCAGGGTCCATGGATTCCCCAAGGCAGCTTGTTTCTTTTGGACACAATATAACACTATCTACTGGCTTCACTTGAGCATTTCACAGTTCATTTGTGATGATTTCTAATAGGAATAAAGGATGACAGAAGTACAGCACCAATCTTTTACACAAAACTTCCTGGTATCCTAAAGAGATGCTATGTGGTAAGAATGCAAACACCACTTTCTAAGTTCTATTACTTGAAGAATTCGAAAAAAAAGAAAAAGAAAAAGCCCATCTGACAATATCCCTTCTCCCAACAAAGAAAAATCATTAACTCAAAATTTCTTACCCTCTCTCTCTCTTCCTCCTGCCGTCTTTTGCCTTCTCCTTTCCAGGGCTCCAGAACTTTCTGTGAACAAATTGTCTGTGTTATATGGGCCACTAAGGTGGCAACCAGGAGAGAGTTGTGGAGAACCTCAGGAATTCTTTGACTGTCAGCTGTCAGGTTGGAAGGTGGGTAGAGCGCCAAGCAACAATCCAAAGATGAACGGATATAACAACAGGAGAGTGGTGCAACTCCCTGTATGGATACAAGGGAATTGAATCAATTCCCAGAAACTAAAATGAATTCTATCATCACCAGTATATAGAATTCAGTCTTGGATTCAGACACTGGTTTGTCTTCAGCAGGGGCCACAGATAATCAGAGGTCAGAGAAGAGTTGAAATAGAAGGAAGGTCCCAGGCCCAGAGGGGTGGCTCAGAAAGCAAAGCTGAAGGCTTGGGGGGATGCAACAACACTTGTGTCAGGCAGAGTGCCAGTCCAGGCCCAGTCACTTCCTCTGGCCTCCCCCTACTTCTGCGAGGACTTCGCCCCCTGCCTACCCAAGGCCTTGCGCCAAGAAGTAGCTCCCTCAGCCTGCACAGTGCTCTACCTTGGGGACTCCAGCTGTCCCCCTAAAACCTTCACTCTCCTGAGACAGTCCCCGGGAACCTTCTCCTGATGTCGCCCCACACCCCTTCCTCAAAGACCCTTCCTTGGGACGCCCCTCCTTTCCCTCTAGGGAGCTGAACTCTGCTACCCACCAGACAGACACCCGCCCCCTATGCCCCCCCATTCCTCCCCATCGCCCGCTCCTGCACAACCACTTCCGGTTCCGGGACGGACACACATACAGTCACATCGTGGACCCCCCCTTCTTCGCCCCCCCAAGGAAAATGGGAGGGGGAGGAGCAGGGAGGTAGACACGCGCCTACTGTAGCGGCGCAAGACTCACCCTGCGGCGACGGCTGCTGCGGCGCCGGAGCCAGAGCGAGGGATGGGCGGCGTTTGCTAGGAAAGGAGGGAGCCAAGTAGAGTGGGAGGACCAGAGGAGGGGGGGAGCTCAAGGCAAAGCGCGGGCACGCACTTTAGGCGCCAGACAGACACACACACTCACACACACGGAATGCGCGCGAGACACCCGCAGGGCGGGGGCGCGAGGCAGTGGGAGGCCCCCCTCCCTCCCTGTTCACTCACCCGGAAGTGGTGCTGCGGCTCGTGCTCCCGAGAACCCCAGATCCTCCACGCCCCCCTCCCCTCCCCTCCCTCCCTCCCCCCCAAAAGGCTTAGAGAGGAATCGCGGCGGAGAGAAGGCGGGAGCCGGAAACGACAGGGGGGAGGGAGGGAAATAGCAATGGGGGGGCCAGTAGTGGCAGAAAGTGGGAGGGGTGTACAGGCCGAGTCATTTCCGGGAGTGGCCAGAGCATATCCGGCGCTGCTAGGGTTCCAGGGTACTCCGGGCAGAAGTTACGACAGGTAGGGGCGGAAGTGGATTCTGCTCAGCAACGCGGTAGATCCCTCTGCGGACTTGACGCCTCCACGGAAGTAAAAGCGGGTTCCGCTAAGGCACGAGTTGGTCTGTGAGAGCGTAGTCTTGGGCGTCTGGAAGGTACTTCTGGGGAAGTGGGAGAGTGGAAATGCAACACTTTTGTAAACTATGCGTTAAGATTCGAGGGAAGGTATGAATTTTTAAAAAGCTTCCATTCCCCCACTCAACCCGAAGAGTTGAGTAGTCTAATGTAGGAAGTTACTATTATTTTTTTCTTATTCTTAGACTTGAGCCTCTGCTCTTTGTATATGCACTAAAGGATAGGGATGTGTAGTTTTCTTCAGTCCCTACTTAGACCTGGAAATTAAGAACTTTTCCCACGCACCTACCCTTCATCACAGGCGTTTACGTCTGTCTGTTCTGATGTTTATGTTTCTCTTGCTCTCTGTCCCCTTACAATGTTATGGGTTGTTTATTGGGGTTTTTTTTAAATTTTATTCCCCACACAATGTTTTACGTATATTTGCCATCATAATTAACTACAAATCTATGAAGAATCTCTCCAGAGTGCTAAAGAGCAACGATGTCAGTCAATATAGACTAAAGTGTACCAGATCCAGGCTACGTTCTTCTGTATTGTTTGCCAAGCATCTGAGAGCTGGACAAGTGAATAAGGATTACAGAAGAACAATTGATGCCATTGAGTTATGGTGCTGGAGAAGCATACTGAACATACTGTGGACTACCAAGAGAACAAACAAGTCTATTCTAGAAAGGATGAAACCACGCTGCTTGTTGGAAGCAAGGATTTTGAAGCTCTGTCTCACATTGTTTGAGCATATTGTCAGGAGGGGCCAATCTTTGAAGATGGACATAATGCTTGGAAGACTGGTGGTTCAACACAGCAGAAGATGACCCTGGATGAGATGGATTGACACAGTGACTGTGGCAGTGGGATTAAGTGTGTCAGATATGGTGAGGTTGGCTCAGACTAGGGCAAGGTTGAGAGCCGTTGTTCATAGAGTTGTTATGAGTCATACATAGTTGGCTTAACCACATATAACAATAACTCAGCACTGAACGTAGAATAAGAAGCACTTATTAGAACACAAGACAATACTGCATGATTTAGAAATCAGGAAAGAGTGCATCGGAGTTGTCTCTTCTTACCTATTCATTCAGTATGCTGAGCAAATAATTTTGAGAAGTTGGACTAAATGAAGAAGCATGTGGCATCAGGATTGAAGGAAGATTCATCAACAGTCTTCCTTAGGCTGCTGGTGACAACCTTGCTTGCTGAAAGTGAAGAGGACTTGAAACATTTGCTGCAGAAGATCAAAGACAAGAGCCTTCAGTGACTAACGATGGGCTTGAGAATATCAGGAATATCAGCGATGGTGAGGATGGTGCAGGATAGGACAGTTCTGATTGGTAGTTCCCAAGGTTGTAGTCCACTCAACTGCACCTGATTAATGTGCAACAGATTAATGTGGATTATATCTCAACATCACAAAACCAAGAATCCTTACCATTAGAGTAATAGGCTACATCATGATAGATGGAGAAAAGATTGAAGTTGTCAAAGATTTAATTTTCCTTGTATTCCCATGGGACTAGCCGTTAAGAAATCAGAAGATGTGTTGCACTGGGAAAATCGCTGTCAAGGACCTTTTCAAAGTACTTTAGAGCAAGGATGTCAGTTTAAAGACTAAGGTACACCTGATTTAAGCTGTAGTCTTCTCATTTACTTCTTATGCAACTGAAAGTGAATAAAGATGACAAAAGAATAATTGATGCCTTTCAATTGTAGCATTAGAGAAGCGTATCAAATATCCCACAGACTGCCAAAAGAACAAATATGTCTTGGAGGAAGTGCAACCAGATTATTCCTTAGAGGCAAAGATGGTAAAACTTTGTCTTACATGTGAGGTAAAAAGGCAGAGAACCAGATGAAGTAAAACAAAGGAATTTGTTATCAGCTCTCTGGTGGATTCCGCAAACCCATGCCAGAGAGAGGCAGTAGGAATGGGCAGTCACTAGGGAAAGTTACAACAAAGGTTTTATGTGTGGGGGTGGAGGTTGGGATGAGGGGGGTGTGCAGGGGATATGTGGTATGTAAATTGATCTATTTGGTGGTCAGCTCCCTGTAGAGGACATTAATCAGATGACCTCTGCCCCTTTCCATGTATGGCACTGCCCAGGACCCTTTAAGTGAATTGCTTCGTGGCTAGTGTTAAGCAGAATGGAGTCGGTGGTCGGGCTCTCTTCTGACTGGCTGCAGCACTGGAATGTTTCCCAAGGGTGTGTCTGTGCAGAATGGTGCCTAGCTTCCAGGTGACCTTTCATTACATACTTTAGGCATGTAGTCAGGAAGGACCAATCCTGGTAAGATCGCATACTGGGAAGGGTGGAGGGCCAGAGAAAGAAAGGAAGATTCTCAATAAGATGGATTGACATAGCAACTATAACAATGGACTAGAGCATCCCAGAGATCTTGAGGATGGTGCAGAATAGGAAAAGTTTCAGATCTGTTCATTAAGTGTTGCTGTGAGTCATAGTTGATTCAATGGCACCTAATAGCACTCATCAATACTTGCTCTTATATTATTTGTTTACTCCATGAAGGCAAGACTGAATTGTTCACCGCTGTATTTTCACAGGCTGACATGAATGAACAAAACTACAATTCTTTACAAACACTTAATATGATCTCTTTCAAGAAGCCTTCCCCTATTGTAACATAATGATCTGTTTCTCCAGTATCCACAACACTTATAGTCTGGTGGCGCATTGGTTAAAGAATTTAGTTGTTAACCAAAAGGTTGATAGTTTGAGCCCACCAGCCACTCCCAGGGAGGGGGTGGGGAAGGCAGTCTGTTTCTGCTTACATACTTGTCCTGCAGCGTTGCTATCACTTGGAAACAACTTGAAAGCAGCAGACTTAACAGTATACACTTGTTAGTCCAATCTCAACTGTGCTATATATGTAACTCCACAACAACATTGTCAGTTCCTTGAAAAACTATATCTCATACCATCATATCCTTTACAGTACTTGGCTGAGTACATGATTTTTGATGAGGATATTCTTGGCTGTAATCGTTACAGAGGGAGCTCTGGTAGTGTAGTCTGTAGGGAGTTGCTGCAATCTCAAAGGCACACAATTCAAATGCACCAGCTGCTCTGTAGGAAAAAGATGGGCAGGCTCCTCCCATGTGTTTAACTGCCTCTGAAAACCCATCAGATGGTATACAACAACAACAACTGGAGAAACACTTGGCTTCTTAGACCAAACTCATTGCTGTCAAAACTTGAACCATCTTACTGCTGACCCTCCAGCAGGTTGTTTTGTTGTTTTTTGAGAAAATGTATACTTCATTTGGTATTAACAGGTTTGAACATATTCTTTTTTTAAAATTTCCATTCATTCATTGTTACACCCTGTCCGCCCTCCCCCCCCAGTTCGCTTTTTTCCTTTGGAAAAGAAGTTCTTTCATCTTTATACAGCCCCTTCCCCACCCTTATCCAGCAGGTTCTTGAGGCATGAGATTACCCACCTTTGTCCTGTGGAAGCACTATTGGATTTGAACTGCTAGAGAGGTGTAGCCATTAGGTTAGCAACACACCTTTTTTTAAAAAGTGTATCACATTTTTGACTCAGCACAGTCTATTAACTGAGCAACAAAGGTTGGCAGGATGAGAAGAGTCTTAAGGGCTCAGATGTGACTAACGTTGAATTGCTGCAAGAGTTAGAGATTACTGATTCTGACAAACCTTGACTTTGGGAGCTGGAATGGCAGAGTGAGAGCAGAATAGTGATGATCACTCTAAGTGCTCTTTCTTCTATTGACATTAACTGGTACTCCCTGGGCCTCAGTGTCTCCATCTGTCAGCCCTGCTCTAACCCTCATTACAAGAAACATTTAAGTGCTTTGAACTCCTTAGAGAAAAGCTTTAGGGATAAATGTGGGGCGTAGGGGGAGGAGGACTGTTAATTTTAGCCTGGGGTTCTCCAGCTGGCACACTGTTTTTATCTTGAATCACTTCCACACCCTGAGCTCTGCCTGGGAGATCCCTCCTTCTGGGGGCTTCCCCATTCCCTGGTTTGGTCTGAGCTACCATGGTAAAAAATGTTTAAAGAGAAGTTTGGTTGAGTCATCTGATGCACAGCCCAGAAGGTCCCAGTGGTGCCTGTGATGTGTAGCCTCGCAAGAACCTTCTGATTCCCAAGAAAGCAATATAGCTATCGTATGTTCTTGGTCTTGGTTAATCAGTGACACTCTGCTTAACCACTTAAAGCCTTCTGAGGTCTTCCCAAGGCCCTATAGCCCCCATTCAGTTCCACCAAAACAAAACAATTCCCAAACACCTCACTCAAGACTCATTACTGCCCAGTCAGAATTGACCCTCCACTGGGTTTTCTTTTTTCTAATACTTTTTTTTTAAATGTTATTATTTTTTTTGTGTGTGTACCGTCAAATGGGATCGGACTGGTACAGGAGATTGTCCCTCACGTACTTCTGAGATTGCAGTGCAGCTGCTTGCCACTAGGCCACCAGAGCTCCCTCTACCGGGTTTTCAAAGCTATAATTGCATGGAAGGATACTGTCGATAGAACACACAGCTGATCCTCCACTGGGTTTCCAAGGCTGTAAATCCCATGGAAGGAGATCGCCTGTCTTTCTCCTGCAGAGCCCTGGTGGATTTGAACTGCCAAAGAAGTTCAGCCTTTGGGTTAGCAACAAAACTCCCTACAGACTAGACCACCAGAGCTCCCTTTCAACTCCAAGGACAAAATAACATTTAGGACTTCAGGAATCTTTATCATTAGTGTGACAATGTAATCTAGTTGGAGATCATTTCTTTAGGACAACTAGGAGACCAAGATGGCCTCCTTTCTCCTGTTTCCCCTGCCATCTGACTTGCC